TCCTTCGAGGCTCAGCCTTTGGCCTTCTGGAGCAAGGGCATCCACGATCTGCCTATCCGGTGGCAGAAGGTCATCGATGAAGATGGAGCATATTTCAAGTGAACCCCAGTTGTCGTTAAAAAGTTGTACGATAAAGAAAAAATTTGTCAATTTGTCCGAATCATATCGACTCAACCTAATAGTAATAACGATTCTGAAGAAAAAGCAAGTAAAAATCATGGGAAAAGAGGCCTCATGCCGAACTGGGGTTGTATGTGCACAAGGCAGAGGGCGCGTTCGGACGAGTTCTCACTTGGCCCTAGCTCTTTCGTCTTATCATCTCGCTCTCACCAATCGAAATGGAGAAAGTCAGTAGCGTAGAAACCGCACCACCAGGTAGCGCTGAAAATGAGCGTTCATCACCAGGGAACAGCTAAGATTGAGCGTTGGGCGTTGCTGCATTGAGTGGGCGGAGCGGCAGTTTCTTCACGAGCGAGTAGCGCTCTCCTCTCGTACTTTTGAGCTGCCAAATTAGTATATCCTCCATCGTTGTAGGAGGGCTACCATATCCAAAGATAGCCTCTGCCCTTGAGTCCGAAATGGCAGTCGACGGTAAGTCACTCTTATCTCTGGCTTCCGGCTTTGATGAAGTCCACTGAGCCGCAACGTAAGCTAAATGAAGCTGTGTTAACGCTAGTGGTTCCAACGTGACCTCGCACATTGTCAGGGTCACTGAAAGTCGATCACGGATGTTTTGTTTCATTTTTACAAGTTTTATCGGTCCCTAAACTGTGTCACTCCACGTTGTTTCTATTCGTCTTTCTGATCAATAATAAATCATAACCATGTTACGGCAAAGTTCGCATTCGCAATTTTTCTAATTTTTTCATGATTTTTCCATTTTCAACTGCGCCCAGATGATCGAAAGGGCTTCATCTTCTGTCTCATTTTCTGCTCAGGAACTGAAGCATTGTGATGTAGACTAGCGTCCGCCAGCGTATACCAGCGTAAAGAGCGTTTTCTCCCCAGCAGTTTTGCTCAAGCCTTACAACCAGACTCTAGACGGTCCAGTGTAAACGTTAGCTGTTTGAATAAATGTTCCGTCAATCGATTTCGTAAGGTACTTAAAAGTAACACCTGGAGATGCATGACTAGGTTACAAGGAAAGAGAATATGAAAGTTATTTCTCCATAGTATTATAGGGATGCGCTGCCACGATTCTGTATCGGAAGCGGAGGAATGCCAGGCTGCTTCCAACACCGGCTAACCTCGACGATCTCATGAGGGAAAATCGTAAGTCTGTTTCACGTTTCCTGCGAAGGTAAATTTCGTGCTTCTCTTTCCTTCGGTTTTGTCAGTGTTCTTGTTTGTTCCTCTTAATTATGGTTTTATTCTAGAAGTAAGCCGTTTGAAAGTTATGATAGCGCAATTGCTGCCTTCCACGGTTCTTCGCGGTGGGCGTGATAATTCGATTTCTTCGCGTTCATCTTCGGACTTTGAAGAATTCATATACAATCCACTACGTAGTGCAACACCTCGCTATCGCCTAAGTCGGTGAGTAGTTGCTTGTTTTTTTTTTCTTCAAGCACACATGTAGAATGTTTACCACATAACATGTTATTGGTGGGAAAGTAAAACAGACACGAGGGAGTGATCTGCGTTTGGCATGTGTCAGAACATTTATTCCACGCACAGCGATAATAACGCTGTCCACCGACAATGAGAGGAGGTTCGGGGGGGGGGAAGAGGGTGGAGGCTAGCGAACGAAGAGCACTTTGCCCATCTCGTCGCTATCAGTGTTTGAGTTGCATGTTATGGCAAGGCACCTAAGGCAATATTCTCGAGATGTTCTTCTACACTTACGAGTAAGCCCTCTACTAAAGATTCCATACTCACGAAAACGTAAGGTCATCCTAATTGCTGTAGAGTTCAGGAAAGCCTACCGTGCTCTATCTGCTTGGACCAGCTTCTAATTGCCACTTTCGGTTTAGTTCGTAGGCAGGGTTCTACGGCCATAGCGCCCTCGTTAGTGTGAAACTGCGAAAGCGGGCTGAACTTAGGTAGGGACTGAGGACCACACTCCTTGTGCAAAGAAGCACGTCTACGAATTGCTTGGACGTGAGGACTGTCTTTAGGCATCGTTCAGACTTCGCAACGACAGCACCTAGGTCGCGAAGCGCTGCCAACGCGAAGTCTGAACGCTGCCTTAGGAAGATGATAGGTAGGATGGCAGTCAGGGAAAAAGGGGGTGTACAACAGGAGGAAAAATTGGGATGTTTCGTATTTTGCAAAAAAATCACCAATGGCATGACTTGTCTAGATGCTCTTGCATAAACTTCTGCACGGTGGACCTATTGAACTTGGACGTCTTTTTTCGCTCAAATCGTCCATTACTCGGGGAAGCACTATTAAATATAACCTTGCTAAAGCGAGGGTGAATAGTAGGCGTCATTTCTTTTCACACAGAGCCTTACCTTCATATGAGAAACTCGATAAGAAGCATCCCATACCGTTAAATTACAGCACTTTCAAGGCACTATTGAATAAAAGCTTGAGTCCATGAGGCCTTATATGAGTTCACGTTATTTTCGTTTGTTATTGTCGTTTTGAATATTTACTGATAATGTTTCTCAGGAGTAGTTGTTCCTGGTATTAAGTTGTTCTCGTACACACACAATTTCGTTGTGTAATAAATACTAATACTAATACTTGTCTAGATGGCAATTACCTGGTTTACTAAGTCGTCGGATCTCATCGTTAGCAGCAAAATTCATTTGATGAATCGCTGCGAGTTCCCAATCTTCTTTTGTAATATGCTTTTAACTTCTCTTTGCAGTGATATTTCGGGTGGACAAGAAGTATTTCCTGTACGGGTTTATTCGGACACTGGAAATTGTGTGCCACCAGAGGAGTTCACCTATATATCTTCTTGTGACTTTTCAATGTTCAAGGAAAATCGTGTATCAAAGCGAGTACAGGGTAGGCGCAGTTCGAGGTGGGGGCATTCATTTAGAAATTTGTCAGCGTGACAAGGCCTTTACAGGGGACGCGCAAGCTATTGGTCTTGTCACTGATATTAGGGAGATTGTGGAGAGCTGGCTGCTTGTAAACTCCCGCCACCAGGCTACAAAAAATGACACGCCCTTCTATCCATTCCTCCCCGCCCCTTTTTGCTGCACGAATCTAAAGAAAACGATTGCTAGCATTATGGATATGAGGATTCCTTAAGTCTCAAGAAGGAGCTTCAAGGGCTAACATAGTCAATTTCGGTGAAGAAAACTTCCGGTGACGGATTTGATCACCCTTGCGGGCTTTCTCCTAGGCTGCTGAGAAGTGGTCTATCGTTAGCTTATGGGATTATGCAGCTAATGGAACTATAAACCATTTTTGCCTTTTTTGAAGTGGCAATGCTAGAGCATTTATTAGCTTCGCTCGAGATTACAGGGTCCTCCTCCCCCGGGGTTCGATACCTGTGCCCGTTTAGTGTCTATTGTCGCGTAGTGTTTTTGCTGTTAACACTTTTTGCGAAACGCAACAAATCCGAGCCTGAAAAACTGTGAGAATCCGGAGTGAAAGGTGCACATTCAAAAAAGCATTATTCTGAAATTTTCAGGTGAAATGTGATTGTGATGACTTGATATGCGGTGAACTCTGTTCTTGTAGAGAAATAAATGATAGACTCACTTTCTGTACTATAATGGTAAGTATTATATAATTTTGTCTGTTGCTGTAGGAAATTTGCAGAAAATGTCACAAAAACGTTTTTCTTGTTCTCAGGTCTTTATCTCTCTAGTGCTTACAATTCATCGCTGCAATTCCATCTGAGTTTGAGACCATATCTTCGGTGACAGCTGTAGTGGCTAAAGGTCGATGCCGTACCTTCCCGGGTCAAAAATGTGGTGCGGCCCTACCCAGGTGCCTTCCACCTGGGTGGGCCGTTTCATTAACTAAGGCCAGGCGCGTCTGGAGGGATAACGATGCTGGCTGCGGAACTGGCATGTCCTTGTGAATTGCTGGACCAAGACTCATTTGCACAAATGTCCCTTTCATATTTCTGACTGGATGCTTGGCACTTCTGTCGTGAGGAGACATAGTGGAATACCCAGCTGTTTTTCATGGTCCCTTATAACCCATCCCCCCTTTCCCCTTCTCAACTCAACTTGTGAGAGTTCGCTACTTCTTATTGTAACCATGGGGTCACTGGATGATGAATCTTCAACTGTGTACCCCAAGACCACATTCATACATTGCAGTTGGAACGATTGAGAATCGCGATAATGAGTTGTCCGGCTGCGACCAACCTAGCTGCACAACCCCTGGGCAGCTGCTAACGGCTGATGGAGGTTGCAGCGGTTCAGCGACAGGAGGTGGTGCGGCGGATGGTCATTCTTAGGCGCGCCATTTTCACGCGCGTCTGTTTCGCTTGAGTCGCGCTTTATGAACAGAGCTTGAAACTTTGAGTCGGGCCGCTTTTACTCGTATACTTGTATACGGAGAGGAATATTCCGAAATGCTCATTACAGGGTGACGGACGGGTTTTTGTTAACTCAAATGCAACATTTTTCAATACATTGATTGTGGGCTGCGGAAGCAAGTGCGTTTGTAAAGGGCAATGTAGGAATTCCCTGCGTTCAACTTCACTTCCTGCTCCGTTCAGGTTCGGTTTCGTGTAACTGGGCTTACGTTACATGCTGAAATGAAACTGTGAATTGCTAACCATTTCATATTTAGATTCGAAGTCTTTCGAAGAAGCGACGATCTCGGTTTTGGGCTGCGTACATTAAGCAATATACCTCAAGGTAAGAATCTGAGGTCTTCGATATGTAATTACATGTGTATAATGTCGATTTAAGTAGCTCACGGGCTTTTATCAATCCGGTTTAGCAACACTCGTTACTCATAGTGTCGTCCACTGCCAATAAAGGGACATGCCAGGGTGGCATGCGCTTGCGCAGCGTAAGGCTGCGTTTATACTTTGCGGCAGCGTAGCGTAGCGCTTCCGGCGTGCGCCAGTGAGGATGCATATCGGTCTAGCGTTCCCAGCGTCACCAGCGCGCGCTGACGTACGCTAGCGGCACGCTAGCGCACGCTGGCGTAGCGAGGGCACGGGAAGCATAGCTATCGAGAGCTATAGAGAGGGGCTAGAATGTTTCGAAAGTAGGAGAATATTTTGTACTCTCCTACGTTCAATACTCTCTAGCCCCTGTCTAGCCCGTCGCTGCAAGCGCTGGGAAAACGCTGGAGAAACGCTGGTGAAGCTAGATCGATAGCTATGCTTCCCGTGCCCTCGCTACGCCAGCGTAGCGTGACGCTGGTGACGCTGGGAACGCTAGATCGATATGCATCCTCTCCCCGGCACTGCCGCTGGCGTACGCTGGAAGCGCTACGCTACGCTGCCGCAAAGTATAAACGCAGCCTAAACGTTCTCTACCAGTTGTTGAAGCGGAGCGATAAGCAACAAAATTGGCGGGTAATGACTGATAGAACGATATAATACAGACTTGTCTCTCGTTCGGTTCAGCAGCTGATGGGCCTAACACGCCCCTTCATCCCGCAGCGAGCAAGGCTGTACTTTCCTTCTTACATCATGCCATGGTAATGAGTTCTCATTGGAAAGGTGCACTACTTCTTACAATTAGACGTGTCATCCGAATACCGATGTCCTAGCCAGCCCTGTCTTTGTTTTCTCCTGTGGTACTGTAGAGGGTGCGTTCACATTCTGCGTCATTTGAGCGTATGGCAGCTTTTGAGCGTTTCGAGCGTACACTTTTGTTTCGAGAGTTTCGAGACCAGGAAAGTATAGGTATCGATCTAGCGTTTTGAGCGTATGTCACCGCTTCAAAATTAACCCGCCAGAAGCTCGAAACTGCCTATGGAAATGCTGAGAACGCCGGCGTACGCTGAAAGCGCTGGCGTACGTCCAAAACACTAAATGGATATCCATACTATACTAGTGTTCGAAACACTGCTGTACACCTACACATTCCTACTCGATCGAAATACGCTAAAAACACCGACCCAAGAACGTAGCCTGAAGTTAGTTCACGCCCTTTTCATACTTGACCATTGCATCTGCTGCGTGAATAGGAAAAAGAACGGTCTAAAAATGACAAACAAACGGAGAAGAAGTCTGGGGAATGTTTCAATACAAAGTGAGCATTTGATTAGGCAACTGCGCTATTGTTGATGTGTCCGAAACTACGCTGTCGAAACATTAATTTCACCTCAAAATAGTGGTGTTTTGCAGGTTGTGCTGTTGTTGAATTCTGTGGTGAAGTAGTTGGGGTAAGTACGATTCAACACTTTTTCTCAAGAAGAATACTCATTAGGATTGCCAATGGTGAACATATTATAGAGCAAAGTGTTGAGCAGTAGAGGGGCGGAATCGTTGGATTACTCTTTTTGCCTGCACTCATCTGAAGAAACTGAGATCTACGAGAGGCTGGCATCAGCACGGCGTATAAGGGTGAGCGGGTTTTGCGAAGTAGCCCTCTAGTTACATATGATATCGTCGCAATCAGTCGGGACGGTTCCAAGAGGGATGGAGTGAGCCCACCCGCGGTGTTTCCACCAATGGTTGTTTTCTTCCTCCTGATCGCCAACCAGTCTCCATTGGTAGTACAGGGTAGCCGTCGGTGAGCTCATTCCGCCCTACTGACACCGCCCTGACTAATTGTTATGCTATGATCTACCATCATAAAGATTGCATCCAATAGAGGGAATGAGCATACTTTCCAAGAACTTGTTAAGCTTGCTGTCAATTTTGTTACTGGTCTTTTACTAGTATTTTTTTTGCAGAGCGAAGCCTTCAGCGTACTGAACGATATAGCTTATATCGATCCAACAAGGAAGGGCAATATTGCTCGCTTCATCTCCTCATGGATGCTTCCCAAACTTGATTATGTTAAGGTATGTGGCAAGCATGAAGTCTAAAATCGTCTTGAAAAAACAGAAATTATATCATAGACTGAGTAATCGGAGAACATAGTCCTCTTTTGGCGAAGCGTTGGAATTATCGGCTGGGGTTTCAACATTGGTCTTAAATCGGACCATACGCGCATTGAATGACGTCACTTGCCACTACCCTTTTTCCCCTAGCAGTCACTTTTACAAAAGGGGACAAGGTTGTGGTATCGTAGCTTTGAAAACTAGTTGTGGCCCAGCGCGTGGACTAGTAGATTCGAAACTTCAGAACATCCAGCCATTCATACTGCATGGGCTGTTCCTTGACCCGAATAACTCTTCGTGATGATTCAAGCATTCTGTTTTTTTTTTCAAGATACGCTGAAAACGATTTGCGTCTTCACCACTCTCGAGCCATCTTATTTGCTACTCAGCCCATTCTAGCCGGAACCGAGGTATACAGGAGGGATTTTGATTCCTTCTAATTCGGAATTGCTAAAGTTTCTCAGTTGGGGTATGTAGGCTCACCTGTCTAGTGATCCTTTTTAGTTATTTTTCGACTATGGAAGCAACTATTTGAACAGAGCAGGATTCAAATGCGAATGTCGCACGATGTGGTGTGATAGTGTAGCAGCGCGTTGGCGTTCTGCATATCCTTCTCATGAAGAGGTCAGTTCTCGTCCGTTTTCTGCTGATCAGGTTTCATATGGCAGTTTCTCGAGCCATATGAACTGTTTGCTGCCCAAAAGTAGAGACTCTAACAAGTCCATGTTCACGGTAACATTGATTTATGTACCCAGCCAGAAGGTAGAAGGACAAAGTGAACGATATTCTTTCTTCTTACGACAGGCACTTGACCAATTTAGCGTAGTGTCAGTGTGGAAGCAGATGGCTCTAGCTTATGCACGTTCTGGCACTGGGGGGGGGCGCTTTCCGAAACACGTCCCCGAAAAAGGTCCTTCGAGCAGGGGTTGTTACACGTGCTAATTATCCCGAGCAAATATATGGCGTGAAGTGGAAGAAACCAATAGTCAGAAGTTTCCTCGGCCCAGTGTCATCCACTCCCTAAGCTTAGGGGAATCCTCAACGTGACACTTGTCCTGGTGCCGATTTAGCATCATCCTTTTATAATTTCCTCATTTGATGAACTGATATAGTTCCGAAAGCATTCCATGCATTTTCTCTGATTAATGATTTGTACAATTATCGTCCATATCGAAGGGCAGCAAGTGTTGTGGCTACGAAGGCTTATACGAAAGAGAGGGAGATGTGTACAGCCGTTTCGCGCGGCACCTTCGACACCAACTGTCGGCGCTTGCCCGCTTAAAGAGTTAGTGGATGACGAGCCGTGCCAAATGCCGCCCTCCCTGGCACGCCCCAGCGTCTGCAGCGCAACGAATGTACGTCTCTGCCTCTCTTCCAAATGGACCTTCGTAGCCACGCCTCTTGGTACCGTCTGATATGGACTGCGCATGTTTGTATTGGTGTAATGGTAGACGTAATGTATAAGTGTTTCTTCGAAGAAGTGTAATTCCAGATCATGCGGAAGTCTCAGGAGTATTTTTCTTATCTGAAACAACGTATGAAAGTGTACGATTTGAAAGCGAAGCAGTATCTACGGAATGAAGGCATAATTCGTCCTGAGTATGGTGGGAAATTCTTGATATTCGAGTAGGTATAAACATGCAAACCACTCAGTGGGTATAGGTGGGCCCGCTCGCCACGCCCACCAGCGGTGGCATATTACGATTGTGTTGTCACATCATTTGGCGAAGTAAACTCCACTTGATGCAGCAAAAGTGCGTATTTGAATTCACCTGCTTATTGTAATTTAAAGATAGGCCGCATTGTCACAGCAGAAAACTGTACCGAAAAACTTATATCAAAATTCTCAATCACGCGCCAAAAAAGTTTCCATTGACACGCACAATGCCGCTATCAAAGCCCGTCTGAACCCTAGATACACCTGCTGTTTAGTACGGTGATTGAGCGCACGAGAATGCGATTGTCAATGATAACTTTTCGTGAAGTACTATAGAATTTTGCTGACCTTTTCAGATGATCTCGACGAGCCATGCGATGGCACGAAGTCTAAACTTTCAAGGTGAGCAACACTTTTCACTGTCTGACCTTTTATTTCCTCATTTATGGTTTTTAGGATTGATCCCTCATGTGTGCATAAACGCGATGGTGAAAATGTAAGTGCTATCCCTTAGGTAACCAAACAATCTGTAAATTTGAATCCTTTCATGTAGTTTGTACATTTTCAGGAACCTGTTATTTGTTATAATCTTTACTGCCGCAACCATGCGAAGTGCACCTGCAAACCTCTTGTCAGGGTTATTCCCACAATAACGCTTGATTAATGGTCTTTCATGTCTGGTTGGAAAACTGTGCTGATCCACCCACTAGCCACTGCAAATTTTCTCAGTAGAAGTCAGAGGCCGTTTCTGTGATGATAAAGACAAACAGGGTTCATATGCTCGAAATGTTGTCAGTACTAAGTGAATAGGAATCTAGAAGTGAAATCCATACGCATTATCCTTGAGACTAATGTTGTTTGTTGACGTTTTTCAGAAAACTAACTTTTCACTACTTATTTCAGTAGTTTTACTTTCATTTAACATGCTTCGTTCAAGATAGGGAAGGTGTAGTGGAGTTCTCATCGGACGGTGGGGCAGTCCTACGACCACGCTGGCGAGCGGTCCGACAGTCGCGTGTCAGTGGGAAGGAAGGGGCGATTATCATCATTGCCTCTGCGCTCTCTGACATTGACTCTGCGCTCGAACACACGCCGCCGCACCATCTACTCACTCTTCCGTCTGGACTCTCGCCGATCGATAATTGCTGACGCTTCCAGTCAGCTGATTTCTGCGGTATTTTTGCTGTATTTCTGTTGTATTTAGCTTGTAGAAGCTGGAATTGTTCTTTTTTCCGACAGCAATTCGGAATGGTGTTTGCTGAAACTGGATTACATTCTGCATGATTTTGGCGCGAATCTTTCCTTAGAAAATGGGTTTCTTCTTCTTATTTTCACATTTTTTGAACATTTATTGAATGAATTCGTTTATTTTCAATGTACAATACTTGACTAAAACCATGCAAAATAAAATCATCAAAAAAATCATGCATCAGTAAAACATTTTCACATTTCTTTTTCAAAGCCAGGTGAAGTTTAAATTTAGCTTTCGAAAGCTGAAAAAAAACAACAGAGTTCAATGAATGGGCATATCAGAGATTATCGATCGCGACGGCGACAGACCGCTCGCCAACGTGGCGGTAAGACCGCCCCATGAGAACTATGTACGGCCTGTACTCTTGACGGAACCCGGTTTCTCGCAAATGGTCTCGCTTTACAATGCTCCTCATTGCGAAACCAGACTTGATATGCTTCTTAGTTAGGAGTAAAAGAGCAGAACACGTTTGTCACCGATGTTTTGTTTTCGCTTATAGTTATTTCTGAAGTATGGCTCCAAGGTAGGTCCTCGTGTTGTTATTTCAAACACAAAAAGGCTATTTAAGATGAGCCTTGTTATCTTAAAATAATCCTACTATATATAATCCGCTAAGTTTGTTAGTGTGAGTGTGTGTATGTTTGTGTGTGTGTTTGACCGGAAATTCATAACTTTCTTCAAAATAGCGATAAAGCGCTCAAACTTATAAGTGATGTAGGGGGTCGGGCAGGAACACTATTGGTGGGTGGCAGGAAGTGATAACAGTTGATAAGATACCATAAGGGGCCTTATAAAGGCAAAGTCAGCAAACTGATGACGGAGAGCACATGCTGGTCATACACAGTATGGCTGGCGCTTGCACGAACAGACACGACTGTCAGCATATCTCGTCCCCAATAGATGAGGCAGCTAAAGACAGCGCTCGCGACCGCCTTTCGTAGGTTGTAGAGGCCAGCGCTACCACAGGCGACTAGGAAGGGTCCTGTGCTACACGCGGCGGAACAGGCGATGAGTCGCTCGTGACATGGGCGTCAGGCGTTTCCAGACCTAAATGATGTGATGTTTGTATCCACTGGTTCAAACTACCCCTGGAAACAACTTTTTAGCAATGCTAGTATGTTCTGGCTCATTGGCTCTGGTGCCTGAGTAGCGGGCGCCAAAAGGTTTGACGCCAAGCGGACGTGACGTGTTCAGTAGATCAAGCTACCACAGGATACAACTTCTAGCCAGGTCTGCTCTAGAAGAAAAAAGTCGGTCATCAGCGGCCTGATTTGGTATGACTGGGCAGTAAAGGATAAAGTGCCAAATTCTCATGTTTGCTAGGCCATACAGCGACACACGTGCGAATGCCAGCTGATGCTCAAGTCAGTCTCAACAGTTCCCGCCCCGGTCTGGTAATAAATCATCAGTGATAGAAAGGAAAAGATTCCGTGTTCCTCTTAAGAAGAAAGGTTGAGAGCTAAGCGTAGTGATACTGCTGTGCGGTGGCGTAACTTATCACTGTGGTATTCTCACCATTTGTAATCATGGGCAGCGCATTCAAAATTTCACATCTTATTGATCTTATGAGCCTTCACTGATCTTTATGTACAAAATCATAAATATTATCAAAGCAGAATACATAGAATACCTATAAGGAGACCTGTAATGAAAAATGTTCTGAAAGTAAGCTCTTCACCAGCAAGGACTGAGGCGGGAATAAAAGTTATACTTCTAACAGAAAACCTAAATTATGAACATATTTGGAAACAATACAAACCCAGAAGCACATGAACAAATTAACTAAATTCTCTACGAATAATAAAAAAATCATTTCTTCAATCGCATTCGATGACAGGCTCTTCGTTGATCTGAAAGTGTAGAACAGCACTCCCCGAATAATTCTAATCGAGAATGCCGGGCGGGTGGAGCCAGCAAACGACGTCGTTGACATGCACCCCCTCTTTCCAACGTTTGAGGCAGTGAAAAAGGCAAGGAGTGGCACGTCAGTGACGCCGTTTCCTCGTTTCCCCACCTCGCCGTCCTGAATGGTGGCTTTGAAGGCATGTCCTGCGTCACTTGGTGAGCAAACGCGTCCTTGGACAAGGTAACCCAGTCCACAAGCACAGATGATTTATCACTCTTGCGGCTCAAAAATACCTGATAAATAAGCCAACCGCTCAAGACGAAGGCAATGCAGCGCCCGCTGATCCATGCCACACCCAACTTTTATTTGTAACGGTACCTGATGGTGCAATCATTCCGTTACCAGCTCTTTCCGTTCCGAATGGTGAGAGTGATAAGGAACAACGGGTGAGACTCAATCCCTCTGCATACCATCTGAGCACTATGGCTCACCTGCGGTCGCGCTCGGCGTTTGTACGTACAAGGGACTTACGCAGCCTTCGCTCGTCAACGATGTTGCCACGCGGGTGCGTTGTTATTGCTATCCGCAACTTATGCGCCCTTACTGCCTGAGCGATGCGCTCTCGGCCACACTTGATGATACCCACCTACCTACACCCAAACCACGCGGCTTACCTAAGAACTACTGCTCTCTGGGCCTATGAGGCCATTACCATTCAACTCGAACCTGAAGCCGACATACAAAAAATGAAGGCAATATCAATACCTCTGAGGGGAATACACATTAGTATTTAATTTATTTACTACTCCCAGTAACAAATAACTACGAAATAATTATGGAAAATAACTATGAAGAAGAAGGTAAGTACGGCCCCAGCTTACCGGGACGAACCCCGCCGACGTCCCAGAACGCTATGTCCTCCCTTCCCTCCTAGCTGTTTAGGAGGCTCGGTTGTTACCGTCGCTCCTGATGGTTGTTTGGGACAATCGACGGAGACTTAAGTTGATACAGCTTCCTCGCGTTGCACGGCTCTATGGATACGGACTGCATGCTGTATCATGTAGGACGGTACTGATATACTGGACGAAGAGCGGAGCGAAGGGACCAATCAGGAGGGCAGCTTGACTTAAACTGAAGGGTGGCTTGATCAGCCGTCACCTCTACGTTCCTAGCGGCGTCTAGTATCTTCCCTTCGCTAAACGCGCCAGGATGGCCGCGTCTACCATAAACTCGACCCTTCGAAAGAGTGATATGGCAATCACGATAAGGAGAAAGACCTAATGTTCTTACAATACCAGGAAGTGATAACTCCTAAGAACCTGTCTTCACAGCGCCGTACGAACGCACAATCTTGGTTCGTCACGAAGTCCCATCTAGGACACTTTGTATGATACTTTTTGCTTTTTCCTCACTTTCGAGTTAAGTACTTCGTTATTAGCATCTGAGACTCACAACCCACCATTTGGGGTAACGGGACGTGCCTTCAACCAGTTTCTTAGACAGCTTTGCGAAGCCATATGTATAATACAAACCTCAATAATATCTTCAGAATCTAGGAGGAACATATCACAATCGTTGACACGCTTCTTCCGTGTTGCCCACATACTAAAAAGGGTTATTTGAAAGAGCAATTCAACAGATGGAATGAACATACCCGATTTGTTTTTTCGCAGTCAGTTTTGCATCGATCAATCCTTCCAGTCGCCTAGCTGGTGCCATCATCTATAAACAGTGAAACTAACGCTGCAATGCGACCATGGGCAAGGAATTTCTGCCTGACTGGAAAACTCACCGGAATTTTATGCATGCAGTTCAACAAAAAGTACTTCTCGTTGCCAACTTGAATGCGCTTCACATTTCCTGGGACACTCAGATCACAACGAAGGAATATCTAAAGCGGTTCATTATAAGCATCGTGCAGCTTCTAGCAGATAAAACCATTCAAATAAATCGAACTTCTACCTGGAGCAGATTATGAACGATGCGTTGATCCCATGGCTCTACGGGAGGATGATGTTGCGGAACTGTGCATATTTTGGTAGCTACATGGGAGAAATGAGGTGGTCGAATGTCGTCGTATTCCCTACGACAGCGCGGTTCACACAGTACATTTATCCATTGTCCCAGTTCGAGAAACCTCATTCCACCAGTAATACATAGGGAACTCCTAAAAATTTCTGCTGTTATATTTCTTACGATTCCATGTTGTCGGGGTGTCCCAGCAGTTATTCTTTCGTATAGTATCAATTCCTCTCGAAAAGGTCAATATGATAGGTAGGATGGCAAAGTGCACTCTTACTGGAGATGGTCGCTAGGTCGAAGTGGCGATTTATGATGTCATATTTTACGAGACTTAGTTTTGAACGCTGATCTCAAATCTGTGTTCCAAATTTACACAAAGATTCCTTGAATGGAGTTATGAAGTTTTTCCCTGCGCGTCTAACAAGCAACAGGTCACCTGAATTGGACCCCAGCTATTGCTGTGGTCCGATCCCGTGACCTGTTGCTTGCTATTGCTGGGCCTATTGTTTTGCTTCTCGCATGAACATGGTCAAAGGTGATTGTAGCGTCACCATTACACCAGTGATCCATATTGGCACAGCACTATCTTTACTGTCTTGCTTTTGGAGGCATGTCTTCTCCAGAGTAGCGCCAGTTGCGTTCTTCGCTGTTCCGTTTCCGCGAAACTCATCTGCAGTTGATCTGTAATCAGTCATATATATTCGCCGTTCGCAGGGACGTACGGCCCATCACCTGGAATTCTTTCCACGTGGTATGTGGGCAGTACTACCGTTAGAAAGTTGTGCTACATGCCCACTCGAAAACGCGCGACAATGAAGCGAAGGGTGTGCGATGATCGGATGCTCTTCCGTGAAGATACAGCATCACGGGAGAATTTCATAAGAGCGCTGTACTTGTCGCCGATGAGGGGGCTGATTTGGCTGATGGTGGTTAACTGGTCTTGACAAGAATCTTTTCCAAGTCGCGATCATTTCACAATTTGTCTCGTTTCAGGGTTGCTGGCGCATCTTAAGTGGGAGAGCAAGACTAGCGCGCGATGCACTGCCATTGTTTGTGGGCAAACGGCAACGCCTCGACGGACTGACGAGCATATGAAGCTATAGCCTCTTGCTTTGCTGTCACGCACTTTCAAAGTGCGGAAGCGCTACAGTTCCAGTGGTACAGACCTGTGCCGTCTTACACACAGAAAGGAGCACAGTAACGTACAGTGTGTCTTTAAAAACACTGGACACGACTGCTGAAGGGTTTGGCAGCCTCACTGGTGTAAGGGCGGAGGGCATACGGCCAAACTGCCCAACGCTTCGTAGGGCTGTGCGCAACGTCATCAGATACTAGCTCCAGCAAACATTTCGCCTCCATCAATCGCGCCCCACTCCCTATCAGAGCACTCCTCATATTTGAACTCTGTTTCGGTGCACTAAGTTCCTCAGCTTTGGGTCGGAGCGTGCCTAAAGGTCGATTAAAGAAGACACACTTTTTTTCATATAAATAACATAACGTGAAGAACCGTGTTGCTCACCTGATTAGATCATCTGCAACAAGTATTTTGTGGACTCCTGGTATCGGGGCAAAGCATATGACATGATCCTCTCTGATTTTTACTATGCAGCACCATGCGGGTAGGCTTTTCTATTAAATGCTGATTGAGCACTGGGTGATGAAAAAGGTGTGACAACTAAATGGACAAGAGAATGGGTAAGTCACTAACATTCTTCAAGGAACGACTCTTAGAAGAACACTGGGCAGACGGTCAGGACAATGTCTGTACGTTTGCCGACCCTGTCGCGCTCGGCACTAGTGCGGCCAATTTTGCGTAAGCGTCTACTGGTAGCACTAGATCCTTTATAGCTGCTTCGGTCACCTTACGACCAAGGAACATGCTCATTTCGCCTGTTGCGCGTTGTCGCAGGCACGCCCTATCAAGCGCGGGCGAATTCGATGGGTGTCCTTTGGCAAAAAAAAGAAAACTGAGCGGTTCATAAGTGCATACAGTTCCACTTGGTTTCTCAGTAGTGACATCAACCATTGTTTCATAGCTAAATGGCAGTTTGGGAGGGATCCATTTCGGCACTACATTTTCTTTACCCTCTTGCTCTTGGGAGCATGCATTTCTACATGCAGATTGTTGGCTCTTCGTTGCCTTTTCGCGAAACTCATTGCCGTGGCCAGAGGAGTCAGGAGACTGCATTCTCTATAATTTAGTTGTTATCAAGAAAACTTCAATATCGAGGAAAGGTTGTGAACGGAATATATCAAAGAATTCCACCATAGGTTCACCACGAATTCAATCGAATATGGGCTGCTTTCATGTGATGATGTGTGCACGATGATATTCGCCTAAAAAATTAACAGGATCTCTGTCTGACGTGATTACTTGAGCTTTTTGGCATGGTCCTATCGCGAAAGAGGAAAGCGCAGACAATGCTGAAACTCAATTATCAAAGAGGTTTGTAGGCCGAAACAACGTATGGGCGTTCTGCAATAGGTGCGGAATACAACATATTGTGGCAAAGTTGTAATGCCTGCTATATATTACTTTTGCGGATGAAGAGGCGTGTCGTCAGGAAGAATGGTTCGGCGCGGCGCCAAGTCCATTCTCCATCAGCTGTTGAAGTGGGCAAACAACAACAATTAGTGGAAAACGACATGAAAGGCATGATACAGTCCTGTCGCTTGGTCGCTTCAACAACTGGTGGAAAGGCTCTGGCACCGCGCCGTACTCATCCGGCCTGGAACGCCCCCTCATCCACACCGAAACAGACTGTAACAACAGGCTCAGAACGCTGTAGGCGAGGCACAGCACTTTAGAGGCAAACTTGCGATCAGATGGTAGGTAATAGAGCAATACGACTGGCTAGGTACTAAGTAAGAACTGTGGAGAAGAAGGCAGAAAAACCGTTAGAAATGCTCTATTAAATATCTCTTGCTGATAATAGCGCACATGATTGTGATAAGAAGAATGTTCGTACGAATTCTCACTTGCTGTTATCAGTTCTTTTCCTTTATCACACCACTCTCACCAATCGGAATGGAAAGAGTCGCTAAACGGGTCAACAGCTCATACTAGTACTTTGGGGCTGGCACGGGCCTAACTCTTCAGCTCTTACCGGAATTCTTGGAAATTTCCACTTTTTGAATGCAGTATAGCCTCTAAATTCACTCACCGGATTACCTGAAGCGTTTGAGAGGGTATAGCTTTAGTTCATTGCGGAACGCGCCCTCAAGACAGAAAACTGATGTGCTTTAAAGGTCCGGCTTTGAAAGATCGAGTCTAGATAGCTCCTAAACCTCCACGAACATATGACTCATCTCCCCCTCTTCTGGAAGTTTAGTGGTTATTTGCTGCTTGCACAACATGAAACGGTTAGTGTATGAGAAGCGTGATGATTCCTGACACCCAACGGCAGCCCTTTATCGAATCCTCATTCCACACTGACTTCAAATGCGTGGTCATCATTCAACGTCTCTTTCCCTTGACAATCATGTTGCCCCTTTACCCCACGCTACCTGCGTAGTTACCAAATTCATGGTCAAGACCACAAAGAAAAACAAATCAATGTACCTCAAGTCAGTTGACGATAGCGAAATCATTCCAACACGTTCTCGTATTGAATCTACATTCGCATCAGCTGCAGTGGCAATAGTTCCATCGTAACTGCTCCTCACAGGCCGTCCTCGATCAACAACCCGGAACTGTGCTGCCTGAAGCATTCTAGCCAATGAGTAGAACGAGAAGCTTGTGAAACACTAGTCTTGTACATCTGCTGCGATTTGAACAAAAGCCGTTCGTTAATGCACTGAGGCGCGATGGGGGGGACGGTATAGAGAGTGTGGGCTCAAATGCACGTCTAACGGTCAAATAAGATGGCTGTCCTTCCGTGAGCTGAGAGTTTTTTCCACGATGGCAGCGGTTGCACCACTTCGCGACGCGAGTGATAAGAGCACCCATGCCGTCGTTCCTCTCATCGGCCCGAGCCACATTCTATTGGTCTCGCTTACTGCTTCACCCAGCCATAATAACCAAGACTCGCCAAAGAGCATTGGCAGAACATGGTTGCTCATAAAAAATCAGCTGAGAGCAAATGCGGCGACCATGTCGACCATAAGTCACAGTCCGGTGACCTCACAGTCTGATCACAACCTTTGCTCGCTCTCTGCTTGTACATTGTACAAATGCCCCTGCCAAGGGGTTCTATTTGAGACACTTGGATGAATTATTTTCTACTTCGTCCTCCGCCGTCCTTCGTTCTCAGTATCTTAGCATCCTTATTTGAGTCACACTCAGACCTGCCTGTCCCCCTTCAATCTAAATAATGCCGAGCTCAGTCTTACTGAGCACTAATGACCGAAAAGGGTGCAGCCTAAGCACGTCACGTGTCCCCGCCACAATTACACTAGCGCCGAACCCGTTGTGACATGAGGGCCCTGTTCGTATATCCTATCTGAAAATAACAAAAACCTCTTATGTGTCGTTTCATATGAAAAGTTGATTGAAGTTGAAGTTGAGGTGATGAAAAGTTTGCTCTAAGACTCACCGAATTCATGCGTTCAAGCGGCTCTTTGCTACTGCCAGATTTTCT